AAATAAAACCAAAAGTAATAAAATGAAAAAACAACAACAACAACTATTTTCTTCATTATTTGTCTTCAAAACCAAAATGAAAAAAACAAACAAACAAACAAAACAAAACAAAAAAACAGATAACAATTTGTTTTATTCAGTTTTTGATTTTGTGTTGACCAGGACCAGACTGGGACTGAGATCAGGACTTGGTTTAGTCCCAGTTCAGTTCTGGTTTAGTCCTGGTGTAGTCCTGGTGTAGTCCTGGTTCAGTCCTGGTTTGGTCCCAGTTGAATTGGCCTGGTCCCAGTCTGTCCCCATCTCAGTCCCTGTCTCAGTCCCGGTCTGGTCCCGGTCTGGTCCTGGTCTCAGTCCCGGTCTGGTCCTGATCTCAGTCCTGATCTCAGTCCCAGTCTCAGTCCCAGTCTCAGTCCCGGTCTGGTCTGGTCCTGGTCTGGTCCTGGTCTGGTCCTGGTCTGGTCCTGGTCTGGTCCTGGTCTGGTCCTGGTCTCAGTCTCAGTCTTGTTCCAGTCTCAGTCCCAGTCTCAGTCCTGGTCCTGGTCTGGTCCTGGTCTGGTCCTGGTCTCAGTCTCAGTCTTGTTCCAATCTCAGTTCCAGTCTCAGTCCTGATCCTAGTCCCAGTCTGGTCCTGGTCTCAGTCCTGATCACCTGACAGTCTCCAGGCCCGTCCCAACACTCGGTCCTGTCTTAGTCCTGGTTCAGTCATGGTTCAGTCGTGGTTCAGACCTGGTTCAATCCTGGTTCAGTCCGGCATCGCAGTTTAAGTCACGTAAACGGGAAACGGCTGTTATCTGTTTTTTCCATTACTCATTTAAACACAAAATCGAAAACTTAACAAATGAATCATTATCTCTTTTTTTTTTTCATTTTGGTTTTGGAGACAAATAATAAAGAAAATCGCTGTTTTTTTCCCTTTTCGTTTTCATTTATTTTTGGTTTTATTTTGAAAAACGATTGAACGAATGCTACACAGATTGCTGAAACATCTTACTTCTCAATTCACCTACAGAACGAGCAAAATGAACAAACTAACAGAAAGTTAAAGGTTACGCAAAACTGATTCTTCTGCACTGACCTACATTTTTCAGTGTTTGTGCGTTAAACTTGCGAATGAAAAAAACTCCACGCATGTTTTTGATGAATAAACAACATTATAACAAATCAGAAAGTAGCATAAGTGGGCTCTTTAATCATATTTTTTATAAGAAAAGTGATGTTATTATAATAGTTTTCACTGTTGTTCTCGTAACTTAAATAACACTGAATATTTTATGACCAAAGTAACTTGTCTTTTCTAAAACATGGACAGAAAATCTAATAAATCTGGTAAATCTAAACCGTGAAATGTAACAGATTTGATGTAAACGGAGCAGAGTCCTCAGAAAACCTCCGACTCCACAAGGTCACTCAGCTGCTGCGTTAAGTCAAGGTAACGCCTCAGACAGAAACAAGCCTCAAATAAAGATCAACTTAACCCTGAGCAGAGCAAACTTTAAACACTGGAGCTATTGTGCAAATACAGAGACTTATAGTTTGTGTTTGAACTCTTTTTGGGCAGAAATACAAAAATATTACGCACGGCTTTACTGTGAGTCACACATTAACAGGAAAAAAGAAATTCTGTGAGCAAAATTCTGTTTAAAATAACTTTGAGGGGCGGACAGTGAACAACAGACGTGGGACCAAGTCGATGTTTAAAGTCTGCAAGTCTCAAGTCTTTGACCTCAAGTCCGAGTCAAGTCCCAAGTCAAATACAGGCAAGTCCAAGTCGAGTCTCAAGTCACTGGCCCATAAGTCGAAGTCAAGTCCAAGTCGTCTGCTTTGAGCTTCAAGTCATTTCAAGTCTTTAAACCAAAAAAGTACCAAATATAGCTTAGATTTTTGCAATTTTTATGACTTTTGAGATAAATTGTTCTTAAAAAAATCATAGTATATTTATATATGAGTATTTATAGAGCATGTAAGAGTTGGAGAAATTAATTTAGTTCTTTTTTCTTTTTTTCTCTTAGGCATTTTTCCTTTTTAAATGACTTGACAAGATCTTAGAGTGAATCATTATGGTCAGAATAGAAAGAATTCAGATTTAAAAGCGCTTCTCAAGTCTGAGTCAAGTCCCAAGTCAAATACAGGCAAGTCCAAGTCGAGTCTTGAGTCAGTGGTCCATAAGTCCAAGTCAAGTCCAAGTCGTCTGCTTTGAGCTTCAAGTCATTTCAAGTCTTTAAACCAAATTAACATACATTTTTGCAGTTTATATGACTTTTAAGATAAACTACTTAAAAAAAAAAAATCTAAGTATATTTATAAATGAGCATTTATAGAGTCTATAAGAGTTGTAGAAATGTAAATTTTTACTTTTTAAACGTCTTGACAAGATCTTAGTGTGAATCATTACGGTCAGAATAAAAAAAAATTCACATTTAAAAGTGCTTCTCAAGTCTGAGTCAAGTCACAAGGCCTCAAGCCCGAGTCAAGTCCCAAGTCAAAGTCAGGCAAGTCCAAGTCGAGTCTCGAGTCACTGGCCCATAAGTCCAAGTCAAGTCCAAGTCATCTTCTTTGAGCTTCAAGTCATTTCATGTCTTTAAACCAAAGTAACTTAATTTTTTGCAGTTTATGACTTTTAAGATAAATTTTACTTTGAGTTTGAGTCTTGACAAGATCTTAGTGTGAATCATTACGGTCAGAAGAGAAAGAATTCAGATTTAAAAGTGCTTCTCAGGTCTTTTCAAATCACAGGCCTCAAGTCCGAGTCAAGTCCAAAGTCATTGACCTTCAAGTCCAAGTCGAGTCCCAGGTCTTAGTCCATTTTATCAAGTTAAGTCTCAGGTCCTAAAAACAGTGACAGGACAAAACGAAAAATGAACTGTAAGATTTTAAATTGTGTTTGTTATAATATCAAACATGATGACGGACTGTCCTGCATATGACCTGTGTCTATTATTGATTAAATATAAATGAAATAATAACTAATAACATAATAACTCTAAATGGTATACTATTTTTAATCTCACAACTTTTTGCACAGGAACAGCACCCGTGAAGTTCAGAACTCAGGTGTGAAATATTCACTTCTACAACGTCACTTTTCCAGAACGAGCTGTGAGAAAACTAAAGCAGAGCAAAAATGGAAATAATAAACCAGGCGATACTAAACTGTAGCTTGATTCTGTATTTTGAATTCTCGGTAAAAACATTTACTACATTAGACATGAAATTGTGGTGAGAGATTGGCTTTCACCAACAGCACATGAAGTGCGGCTCAACATTTGTGCGTTTGGCTCTTTGACTCTAAACAGGATTGTGAAGTGGACCGTGGCGTGGATGTGAATGATCAAAGCAGGAAATTTCACAACTCTGCCAAACTACAGGGACCCCACAAAACTATAAACAGGCCTGAAAAACTACATTATTGTTGCACACGACTGTATTCACTGAAAACCTCCATCCTGAACAGTGTTGGGAAGGTTACTTTTAAAATGTATTCTCCTACAGATTACTGATTATCCATCCATTTTCTTCTGCTTATCTGGGGTCGGGTCGCAGGGGCAGCAGTCTAAGCAGGATCTCCCAGACTTCCTTCACCCCAGACACGTCCTCCAGCTCCTCCGGGGGAGCCCCGAGGCGTTCCCAGGCCAGCCCAGAGACCTAGTCCCTCCAGTGTGTCCTAGGTCTTCCCCGGGGCCTCCTCCCGGTGGGACATGCCCGGAACACCTCTGGAGGGAGGCACCCAGCAGGCATCTGGGACAGATGCCAGACTCAACTGTTCCTCAACTGTTCCTCTTGACGTGGAGGAGCTCCTCACCCTGTCTCTAAGGGAGCGCCCAGCCACTCTGTGAAGGAAACTCATTTCGAGCGCTTGTATCCGCGATCTCGTCCTTTTCGGTCATTACCCAGAGCTCATGACGACAGGTGAGAGTAGGAACGAAGACTGACCGGTAAATCGAAAGCTTTGTCTTTCAGCTCAGCTCCTCTTCACCACAACGGTCCGATGCAGCGACCGCATCACTGCCGACGCTGCACCGATCCACCTGTCAATCTCACGCTCCATCCTCCCCTCACTCGTGAACAAGACCCCGAGATGCTTGAACTACTTCACTTGAGGCAGGGACTTAAAATATGAAAATACATCTTGCTATATTTGAAATTAGAAAAACAACAACTTTTTGCACTTAAAATAAGAAACAAAAACAAATGTTGCTTGAATTAAGAAAAACACACTTATTCCATTGGTAGATCATTTGACTTTTCAAGTTGAATCGACTCAAATAAAGTCAAATATTCTTAATTTAAGTCATTTTAACATAACTTTTTGCAGTGTTAAAAAGTACAAATTAGCATTTCTACAGCTCTTATCTACTCTATAAATACTCATATATAAATATAGCGTGACTTTGTAAGTACAATTTATCTAAAAAATCATACAAATTGCTAAAATCTATAAGCTATATTTGGTATTTTAGTTTAAAGACTTGAAATGACTTGAAGCTCAAAACAGACGACTTGGACTTGACTTGGACTTGAGGCCTGTGACTTGAAAAGACTTGAGGAGCAATTTTAAATCTGAATTCTTTCTATTCTGACTGTAATGATTAACACTAAGATCCTGTCAAGACATTTAAAAAGGAAAAAAAAAACTAAATTACTTTCTACAACTCTTATCTACTCTATAAATACTCATATATAAATATACTTTTTAAGTACAAATTACTTCAAAATTCATATAAATTGCAAAAATCGAAGCTATATTTGGTACTTTGGCCTAAAGACTTGAAATGACTTGAAGCTCAAAGCAGACGACTTGGACTTGACTTGGACTTATGGGCCAGTGACTCAAGACTCGACCTGGACTTGCCTGTATTTGACTTGGGACTTGACTCGGACTTGAAAAAGAAAAATCTAAAAAGACTTGAGACTTAATTAAAACTTGTAAAACAACGACTTGGTCCCACGTCTGGTAAAACTATGGATCAGGTGTGTGCGTGTCAGTAAATGTGTTGTCTTACCTGAAACGCGTGACTCAGCTCTGATCACTGATATCAACACCACAATCCACAGAAACACTAGTCGCTGCCCCTGGGAGGGCATCAGGGCCAAACCCACACGAGACGGTGTGGATGCCATCGTCCAGGTCCAGTCACGGTAAAACATCCACTTTGAGTTTGAACATAACTGTGTTTTCTGCTCCACAGATGCTTCGAGTCGTGCTCAGATTAAAACTTTTTGCTCATGTTGAATGTTGAAGATCTGTGGGAGGGAAAAAAACTCAATGTAAGATTAAAAGACTCCAAATCCAGACCTATAAAACCACTGGACTTGGGACTATGAACCATTTTGCCCCCAGTTAACTCCCCTGATCTGCCTGTGCTTCACTTCTAGGGGTGTAACGATATCCAAGTCTCACGATATGATATTATCACGGTATGAACCTCACTGTACGATATTTACTGCGATATCGTGGGATGTAACTAGGGCTGGGTATCACTTAGAAGTTGCCGATACGATACATATCTCGATACACAGCACTTTCGATTTGATACGATATATTTCAAATCGATTCGATAGGGTTCAATAAATAATAAAAGCTAAATCGTGGCTGTGATACTAAAAGTCTTCTTGTGCAAAGTTCATATGAAACACAAACATTTTAATCCTCAAAACAGTGAAAATGTGAAATGTGTCTCATTAACGAGTTTTCTTTCTCTAAACAAGCAACAAAACTGTAACACAATTATTTAGTAAAATATAGAATAGAATAGAAAGCTTTTATTGTCATTATACAATATTATAATGAAATTCAAAGCTGCTCCGTCAAAGTGCAAGAATTAATAATAAATCAAAACAAATTAACAGTTCTCATTAAGTATATACCAAAAAATACTACTACTACTACTACTAGGTGATATATTCATACAGCAGCCCAAGATATCGATACTGAATCATCACATTAAACGATACGATATATCAATATTTCGATATTTTTGCACACCCCTAGATGAAACAATATCCAAATCTCTCGGTACGATATTTCCACGATATACATCTCACGGTACGTGTGAAGAATGCCTCAGTCGTCCAGGTAGAATCCATGTCGAGGAGAAAATTCAGTTTGTCGACTGGACAAAAGTTAGTTTGGTTGAAGACGTTTCGCAGCTCATCCAAGCTGCTTCTTCAGTTCAGAACTGGACCAACCTAAATTTTAAACCCCGTGATGACAGATAAGACCTCCAGCCAATCAGAGCGGCGACAAACTAATGAACTGAAGAAGCAGCTTGGATGAGCTGCGAAACGTCTTCAACCAAACTAACTTTTGTCCAGTACAAACTGAATTTTCTCCTCACCATCTCACGTTACGATATTTATTGAGATATTTTGTGGAGGCGAAACAGCTAAAACTATTAACATGCTGCTTTTTCTTCTTAAAATGCCTTGCCAAGACTTAACCCAAAGAACTAAGACTTAAAAATGCTTAGAACTGTTATTTCTTCTTGGAAATGGAGCAAAGAATCATGGTCTATGTCAGGGGTGGGCAAACTACGGCCCGGGGACCGTATGCGGCCCTTTAAACCTTTTAATCCGGCCCGCCGAACTTGAATAAATTATAATAATAAACCTTGTTGATGTTTTATTTTTCCTGCATTTCCGGCGTTTCCCAGTAGATGGCGCACTCTATATAAATTGAGGTACGGCGTATTATGGACGCAATGCTTTATGGGAAAGTATTCTTATAGGAGTCATTTTTGGGCAGCGTATTTGGACCATGAGTGAGGTAAAAGTGTTCGAGATATAAGGCTGCAGTGTTTTTAATTTGATCGAGTTAAAAGCAAAGCCTAAAGACTTGTAAAATCTGAGTTCAAAAGTCTTAACGCATGGAATGTCTAACGGGTCTGGTTCTACTGCACGCGTAGGTGTTTACGCGCGTAACCTTCTGGTGTGGGTTCTGGTTCTCCATAAGCTCTAAGCGCTCAGGGGTCACACTCGCCTGCGATGTGCAGTGGAGCAAACTACATCATCTTTCATGTATTCTGAAACTTATGCATGAAAGTTGTAGTCGTCCTACATGAGTCTAAATACAAGTGCAATGGAGCCGGGCTCTTAACACGTCATGTCCCGTCTCCTGTCCGGTCCTTCAGTCAAACTTTAGGACTCTAAGGCTGCGTTCAGACTGCAGCCTGAAGTGACCCAAATCCGATTTTTTGGCTTCTATGTGACCTGTATCCGATCTTTTAATGACAGTCTGAACGACACAGATCCGATTTTTTCAAATGCGACCCAGGCCACTTGGATTTGTGGTCCTGAAACCGATACATATCCGATCCTTTTGACATGCCACTTCAGTGTGAACGGCCAAAGCGCATTCATTCGACCTACACGTTATCAACAAGCCACAAACGTCACTATTCTCTGCTGAAGTAGGCGAAAATTGTTAATGAACTCCGTGTCACTGAAGTGAAGCACATCACCACTCACCACTCTTGATTACGTCTCCACATCCACACGTTCCTTTCAAAAAACCTTGCTGCCGCTGTCCCACAAAACACCACGGCCAAAAACCTCGTCCTTCTCCTTCTCAGTCTCCTCCTTAAAACAAGTAAGTTGCTAATTTAACTGGCTCCGGATCGAGAGGAACTTTAAAATCTCCAGGTGCTCAATGCTCGCGTCCACGTTTGGACAACTTCTGTAAACACAGAGCACGCTCGCTGCGGTTGACGTCGTCGTGTCTCCAGTGTCACATGCCGGACACTTTCGGACCGTTTACTGTTCACACAGGGGATCACACACAAGTCGCATTTAATTGGAAATGTGAACAACCTCACAGAAACATTGGATTTCACAAAAAAATCGAAATTGAGCGTTAAGCCCTGCAGTCTGAACGTAGCCTATGTGGCCCGCGAGCCAAAAAGTTTGCCCACCCCTGGTCTATGTAGTTCCCTCTGTGTTTTATAGCTACTGCTGCACCATAACTTTTAATTTAAGCAAATACAGTTGTAATTTGATATATTGTGACAGTCCACGATATTATTGTGAGACTTTTGACGATACGATATCACGATATTTCGGTTATTGTTACATCCCTAATAACTTCCATATTAAAACAAGACTCAACATAAAAGAATGTCTTAAGCATTTTCCAAAAAAGGGCCCCATGAAGCCAGGAATATTTTGAGTATTTTGGCTCGTCTGGATAAAATAAAGTAACTGCACACTCATTTATGTTTAAAGGTAAATAAAATCGCAGGCTAACTTCAAACTTAGTCATCAGATCCAGGGCCCCAGATGTACCCAAGTGAACATGAAAGCAGGCTTTTTTTTTTTTTTTTTTAATCGAAGGGCCTAAACATGAGACACTGCACTGAGACCAGGATGATGCTCTGGACCTCCGTGTCACAGTCTTGTTGTAAATCCTGACTGAGCAGAGCTGTAGCTTTAGCCTGCAGCCTCATCATCTCCATGTCCCACATCCGTCCCGTTCGTTACCCGCAGGCTTTAACCTCGTGCGCCTTTACTACGGCAAGACAAACCCGTAACTACCCTTTAACGAACGCGCATGCCTGTGAAAAAAATGCGCAACGTCTTCCAGCAGCTAACACAACATCACCTATTTTTTCACCCTATTTTTCTTTGCAGCCTCTCATTCAGACAAAATAGCTACGCATGCAGACTTACCCAAAACGGGACTCAACTCAATCCCTTTGTGCGTAAAACGGCGTCATTTCCAACACGCGAGGAACCGAAACGTCGCCACGGAGCTCCATGCAACCACCTGCGACCGTTTCAAGTTTTTCCTCAGTGCAAATGACTAAAGCATGACCTGATACTGGCGTCCATCTGACACTCTTTTGGTTACAGTTCCCTTCTCCCCGTCCAGAGGATTGGGGAAAGGACCGCCCCCTCACAGAGCTGATTAGTTTGTCGCCTGCCAAACGCCTCTCTGATTGGCTGGAGGTCTTATCTGTCATCACGGGGTTTAAAATTTAGGTTGGTCCAGTTCAGCGACAGCGTCTGCCGCTTCCAAGGCAACGTTGCATCGGACTTTTTGCGCATATGTAGCGAAAAGGAGCGATATAGAAAGATGACATCGCTCGAGTCACGTTGTAATGCCTTAAACACAGATCATTTTTTAGTAAACAGAGTGCACAGTCTGCTCTAAATGATCTTTAACTAAAAAATAATTAAAATGACGTCAGATCTTGGCATATATATTTATTTTTATTATGCGCGCCGTGCGTAAAAGCTTCCAAACACTATTCCATTGTCGATATTTTGATTATTTTACATTTCAAGGATCAGCTGTGGTTCTAAACTTTGTTATCGACCCCACAGGAGCTCAGGAGAAGTCTGTATGAAACACAACAGCGGCAGATTATTATAACGTAATCACGTGGACAGCTGTGTTGGTGCGCACTGCCATCTAGTGGCGCTAAGTGGAATGTGTCGTGTTACGGTTTTCAGTAGGTTAAGGTGAAGGAACAGTTTCATTGTCCCCATAGAGAAATTTGTCCTCTGCATTTGACTTATCTTTCCCTGCCGCTGGGAAAACCTCGTTCGTGAAGGAGTCGATTCTTTTGAACGATTTCTTAAAGTGAACAGAACCAGATCCAATTTTTATGAAAGCACAGACACTTATTTTTTGAAATTTGCAACATAAGAATCAGCACAGACGCAGAGTAGGCAACACAACTGAGAGCTTAGTGCAAAAACATATTCATATTCATCAAACTAAAATGTATCTATTAAATAAATGTTATTGTAATGCAACGTTTTTTTTAGACTGTGCATAATTTCAAAAGTTAAACACACTCCCACGCTCAGATGTAAACATTTTACACAAATCTGAGCCTTCATAATTTTTTCTCTGTGATTAGTTTGTAGATAAAGTCTCTCCTTGGCCTCTGTGTTAAATGAATACAAAAAGAGCTAGTCTTCTGTACAGCTTTTTGAACAGAACAAATCCAAGAGATTCAGATCCCATAAAAGAGCTGAAAGTTTCATCACTAGACCCATCTCCAGATTTTATGCTTCTGTGTCTTTGTCAGGATTACCAGAGCTTGACATTTATT